AAAGAAAAGTAAACCTATTTAATTGGTGTATTTACATATACGGGCAATTGGAGATGTCTTCTTTATATTACATACATAAAATAATATGAAGTGAAAATATTTCTAAACCCTGTTTGGTTTTCATATTGTTGGGATTCATTATATATAACACCAAAATAAGTACAGCTAGATCTGACTCCATATTGAACAGTTTTGAAAACAGTCTTGAAAACAGTTTTGAAAATAGTTTGAAAATATTTTGCCTAGTGTCAGAAATTATTACCGGCACTCGTGACTGCAGCTGGTTGCTAGGTGAAGGGGGCGGCTAAAATGTAGGGGTAACTGCCGGTGACGTACAAGGACATGCTCCGTAGACCGTCTCATTTCGCAGGAGGACCCAGCTTGGATCCTCCGCGGACTGCGAGTCCTCAGGAGGACCCAGCCTCTGAATTGGGACACAGCTATAGTCTTATATTTCAACAGTTTTACGACAAACTGTGACTTTTTTTACATGTAAATGATTGTTTAAGATTGACAAACATCATATGTGTCATTCGTGGCACAATTCAAACGGGATCAAAAGATAACTTTTCTCTCTCCATTGACTTCAATGTATAATTTTCCGCTTCCGGGGTCCCATGGAGGCTCCCGGAAGTGGAGGGACTAAAGAAACTTTTTAGCACTCCAAGAATAATAAAAAGACATACTATACCACATGTAAAATAAATGTGAATAAACACAATGACCTACAAAGATAAGAAAGTAAAGATAATGAATTTAAGACAATATTTGACAAACTGTTATATTTTAAAATGAAACGCTGAGCAGACGTTAGTTTAATACACCAGTTTATTAAGTGACCCGCAGATCTGATCTGAAGTCAGTTTGCTCTGCTGCGGATTTCCCGCCTCCAACAGGACTCTCCCGCTCAGACTGACCTGAGATCAGCTGTTACCGTCCTCTCTGTTCCCGCCCTCACGAGGTTCACTTCCTGCTCCGGTGCAGCTGCCATATTTGTTACAGATACAAAAATAACAGTTTTAAATAACAGTTTGTATTAAAAGGTGTATTTGCAGGTGAGCTAGCTGTCGGGTCAGAATCATATCAGGCGACTTAACATCGAGGGACTCTACAAGAGGAGAAGGTAAAACTCGCTTTATTTAGTGTGCTAACAGGCTAACGGCTAACAGTAGTTGTAAACACCACTGCACTTCCGGTCTGGACTTTCAACTTAAAATAGGGACTCACGAGATGGGCCGCAGCTGAGAAAATAACAGATAATGTTTTTGAATAAGATGTGTCCAAATGATTCCTTATTTCTGTATCTCGTGTGCATGCCTTTTATCTAGTAGTGTCTGTCTTTTGTGGGAACAATAAAGGAATTCAGATTCTCCTGAAACCACTGTACAGTCTACACATAATACACTTCATATGCTCTTATTTTGAAGTCCACTTCCACAACATCCGGCTGTGTTCTGTCGGCTCGGTAACTTTCCCTGAGAAACAACACGGAGCTCCGGAGGATCCGAGGCTCCTTAATGTTCCCTTTATCGCCTTTACTATTTGTACCCTCTTTATTCACTTTACTCGCCGTATCCGTTAACCCCACAACAACAGATCTGTTTGTTACGCGGAGGGATACACAAACCGCTTCACAGCCTCGGAGGGATTCGTTCTGTTAGCATTATCTTAGCAGAGAGCAGTAGCCCAAAGAGAAGCCGCGGTGAGTAAACAATATACACTCTTATTTTCATGTTTAATCTGTTTAAAGATAATTATATATTAGCATAAAAAGTTTATTAAGAGCCATAACCCCCTGTACTCGGTCCGCCTGCAGAAACTAACCGGATGTGGAAGTAGTTTTTTCTCGGTGTTAAAATAGGACATTTGTGAGAGACTTCCCCCGGAAAACCAACAACTTAATATCAAACAGTTTCCTGTGTGTCGAGGAAGTGAATGTTTGGGACGGTTTTTACCGGTGTTTGTGGTGAATAACAGCCCGGGGAGAGGGGCCACATGGCGGACTCTTTCTGCCCGTGGAGGCGCGTAAAATGGCTCCTCGGCCGTGGAGAAAGAATCCTCGTCTCTGTCCGTTAACTCTCCATCAGAACGCTGTGTAGCGCTGAGGGGCCCATTATCGGACAGGCAGCATCAGGCTAACTCAGCTAGCATTGGGCTCTTCTCCCAGTTAATAAGACCATTGTTTCCACTTTAAACACAAACTAACATTAATGTAGGCAGCATCGAGATTACCTATGAAGCTAAAGCACGTATTCTACACCGTGGAGATACTCTGGTTGCATGTGAACGTACACAGTGTTAGCATCATATTACATTTGAAGTCGTCTGTATTTTTAATTACGTATTAGTATTTAAACTTATATGTTTTGTGAGCTTAGTGATTTATTTATTTGTTTTTATTTATTATTTCTCTGTACAGCTCTTTGTATTTTGTTCAGGAGGTTTTAAAGTGCTGTACAGATAAAGCTGTATTAGTGGTACTAAAGTTTAAGCACAAATACCACATGGTGAACATGCTAATACTACAAATAAATAAAAGTACTGCATTGAATAAAGTACTTTTATTAACACCAATGCTCCCAGTTCCAAAGGTAAGCCCAGTGTGCAGGAAGAACCATTTCAGAGTCACACTGGTTATGAGGAATGAATCACATAGCTGGTCAATTAATAAAGGGATGAATTAAAGAGGGATTCATACATTACAAAGTGGAAATATACATTTAAAATAATTAGGTAAAAATAGAAAGAGGAATAAATAAGTAAAAATCAAATGTGTGAATATAATGATAAAGAAATAAAATACTGGAAATATAAAGAGGAATAAATAAAACAATTTGTTGATTTTATTTGATATCTTCTGAATCTGCAGAGAACCTAGAGTAATCCAATGAAGGCGTAGCAGCACGAGTATAGGATGAGTACATTAAACAGTATTATAAAAGTGTGTGTGTCTCTCAGATGTCTCTGGTGGACCTGGGGAAGCGTCTGCTGGAAGCGGCTCGTAAAGGTCAGGACGATGAGGTCAGGAACCTGATGGCCAACGGAGCGCCGTTCACCACCGACTGGGTGAGAATACCGTCTGTTCAACGTTACCACTAATGTTAAAAAACTCTCACTCGTCCCCGTCTTGAGCTTGAATCTCAGGATCCATGTATCTGTGATCCTCTCCAGAATGGAAGTAGTCATCACACACAGAGCATCAACTAGTTCCTGAACAGTGTCCTTCACATGCTGATATCCAAGAGAGGGAGTTACACAGTCACAAGATGGAGGAATAGAAAGCAGTATTCAATGTTTACTTCAGATTAGCTCCACGTCAGAAATGAGCATGCTTGTCATATGTCTCTCTCCATAGAGGCTGAATCATCATGTTAATCACATAGCTATCATATGCCTCAAACAGTCCTGATGCTCTTCTAGGTAATCACACATCCTGTCATGTTCACAGCTGCAGTT